TTTTACCCCATTTTATTTTTGTTACTATTCTGATGAAGCCTTTTCACCATTATTATTAGTTTTACACCATCTTATTATTGCTGTTATTTTTATAAAGCATTGTAAATACTATTACTAGCTTTACTCTATCTTATTATTGTTGCTTTTATAAGAAACATTTTCACTATTATTATTAATTTATTGTTTTATTCCATTTTATTATTATTGTTTCTTTTTATCCCAAAATATTATTTTATAAAATTTCATTATTATTTTTCTGAATTTCTAGGATGAGAGATTGTCATTATCAACCTTATTTACAGTCGGAATAACGTCGTCATCTTTGGTGTTGCACTCGGAACGTTTCTGCCGTCGTGCCATCCCGCTTTCTTCAGGTGTCTGTTAACCCGGATGACTTTCAGTTTTAAACTGAATCCTTTATTTAATCTACTGGAGTTGATTGTGCTTATTTCGCTATCCATGTTTAGAGATATCATTCTTTTTTAGTACTACTCGCTTATTGCTACTCCTGTATCCACTGAGTACGTGTTACTACTACCCGGCTCATGAAGTGAACACAATTACTTAGCCACGAGTCTCACAAGGAAATCCTCGTGGATATTGCCCGGTGATACAATCATGAAGCTAGAACTTGGAGGTTTGTACATGACGTTCTTATTGCCCCCTCTCTTGCTGCAACCTTTCTGTCAATCTTTTCTCTCTCTCTCTGTCACTGTTTCCTTATCTTTCTTTACTAGCGGTTTCGATATGGTATTCCTATCTATATTAAGCTATGGTATCTATTAATTCTTTAGTAGGTGACGCGTATATATAAATATCATATTATTAATTTATTAGTAGTTTTTTTTTCATTATATTATTATTGCTTTTTATTACAATCATCAAGACCAACAGACGTATATGCCGATCAAAACTGGAAATTTAAATCACGTTCCTTATAAACTCGTCTTTCATGGAGGCCGCCTTAACTTCGTCCGACACGCAAGTTTTGCTTACTGAACAGAGAATAAATTCATATCCATTCTTATCTGCCATTATTTACACCCCATTTTTCCCTTCCTCGAAGCCATTCAATGTCGGAATAAAATCATGGCGTCTGCTTTGGATACTAGATACTGTGAGAATTGTTTTAACTGAGGCATGCCTGCTCACCTAACATTAAAGTACCAACAAGCGGTTATAAAAAAGCTTCGGTCCTTTTATTGATAGTAGTAACATATTATTTACCTATTATTAATTTATTACTAGTTTTTTTTTCATCTTATTATTGCTGCTGTTTTTTTTTTTTTTTTTGTTTTTTTTTGCTTTTTTTATCAAGACTCACTGACGCGAGGAATAGTTTAAAAATTAAAATAAACAGTACAACGAAATAAATGAATAAATATCTTTTGACAATAGTGAACTCGGAATTCAGACATCGGGAACCAGTCTTTCAATGACTTATGCCCGTTTACATAAAAAGTCGAAGTGTCTATCGAACTAAAATGGTAGGATTAAAAAATCAGATTTCCCACCTCTTAACAGTTTTCCTCAATCCCTAGGTGAAAATATTAAAAGCAGTATGGTTATGTTAACAGTTTCCTTATACGGAAACATTCAACATTTATTGACTGAAGAGCCAGTGCTATTGTCGATCGAAATTCATAAAATGCTTCTATTAAATGAATTTTTCAAAAAAAAAAAAAAAAAAAACTTTCTCAAATCAATTAAACGTTATCGCTATTTCCAGTATTGACGGGGCGTCCTTCCAAACTTTTTCTCTGAAGTAGTGTGAGATGTCTACTACACACACACACACACACACACACACACACACACACACACACACACACATATATATATATATATATATATATATATATATATATATATATATATATATATATATATATATTCTTTATTAAGTTTTCTCGAGAGCGCAGACCAACAGACATGTTACACACTGCTTAAAATTAAAAAAAAAAATACGTGGAATCCATTTCAAATATGTATATCCACCAAAATATATATATATATATATATATATATATATATATATATATATAGATATATATATATATGTGTGTGTGTGTGTGTGTGTGTGTGTGTGTGTGTGCAAATCGAGTAAAAGCAAAATTGTCCATTTGTAAGATTAAGATTTGAACCGTTGTATCTTAGAAATGAGTAAAGATATCTTACTGCAATTCTCCGAATTTAATGCTATTGGACTCTACTTTCAGCAATAATAATGCATAATTAATCGCCAATCTAAATCGATCATAAACGAAAATGACATGTTCATTATTAATTAATCATAGCTAAGGGTCGCAAGTATCGAAATAAATTTCATATATATATTATCCCAGGATCATTTTCCAATGTATTCAAGATGATTTCTCCCTCTCTAACCTTCTAACCTTGTCCTGGAGCAACAAGAGGCCTCATGCGTTTCACATACGATTTCATTTCCAAATCTTTTTTCACTGTTATTTCGACTGTCTCACGTGCCAAACGTCTTATAGATTGAGTTGGATCTATTTTGTCTCTTTACCTCTAAGTTGAAATGATGATCCATTTTGCTGTTGTGACCTCTTGATCCCGTTTTCCGCTCGACTGTTCCCTCTTTTTAAAACTTATTCACCGTTCTCTTGATGGTTATTAAATGGACTCTGAAGATGAAATCCATAGTATGAATGTTGCTACCATAACTAAAGTCCTGAATGATATTTTTTCTCTCACTATTGCTCATTTCGGAAGACAGTGGGGCTGACACAAAACTATTTTAACCTGCTCTCTTTCTAGCTGAATAAACCAAAGGGTTTTTCAGTGTTACATACGACAAATGGTGTCAAGATTGCTAACCGTCCTATCTAAAAATCTGGAAAATAGAAACTCAGTTTAGTGTTTTTTTTAGATATTAAACATGTTGTGGGATGGACAATGATGCAGTTACACGATTTGGACAATTTTGCTGTTGAATCCGGTAAGACTCTCCTAGCGATTGAGTTCTCTGGGTGTCTGGAGTGTATATGAAAAAATAAATACGCAAAAATTTGCATTTTTCTCTGACGGGCGTCGATGGCCTTGGGATTAGTGCCTCCGACTGTTACCAAATCAATCGGGCTTCAGTACCGGCCTGGGGCGATCGGTTGTCTAACCACACTGAGGAGCATTGAAACATCTGTCTATGGATGGATATATATATATAGATATATAGAGAGAGACTAGGTTCAAATTTTTCACGCAGAGAGATTGCTAGACATTATATATATTTCTAGCAATCGCTCTGTGGGAAACGATTTGAACCTAGTCTCTTCGTATACTTTCGTTTCTTACTGCTCTACCATGTGTTATTTGTCATAGTAGGTGTTTGTCTTTTAAAACAACATCAAAACTGATATTTACAGTTAAGTATTATTTTCTGTATATAATATTATCTATACTCAAAGTTTTAATATTTTTCAATATTGAACACTATATGAAAATATATGCTTCACATTTGAACTATTATATTCATATATATATATATATATATATATATATATATATATATATATATATATATATATATATATATACCACATAACACCCTTGAGCGCTTAGCCTTGGAGCGAGTAGAATGGAGATCAACGAGTTTTTAGTGGACTCGGCAATTTTCAATCTGCTTGTCGGAATCATCTTCAAGAAGCTAGAGCAAGATCTAAAAGGTCAGCCAATCTAACAGTGATCTCATCTCACAATCCTCACACTTGCTCCATATGTGGCCTCCTTTGTAAATCCCTAGCGGGTCTTAAATGCCAGTTAAGATTATCGTACAAAATTTCATAACTGAATCGATAAGCTGTCAGATCCTCATACGTCGAAACCAACGGGAGAGTCCATATATATATATATATATATATATATATATATATATATATATATATATATATATATATATGTTTCTGCGTTTGTGTGTGTGTGTTTGCATGCATAAGAACAGTTGTATGAATATCTGACAGAATCGTAAATATATGAGACAATTTGAAAACTTCCTTTATGACATGTTTCACTGATGAATCAATGTAAAACAAAGAGTTAGATTGAGATCAGAAGCAGGAGTTTTCCAAATAATATCCTCAAAGACACATCGGCGAAACGTTGCGAAATTTCAAAAGAACAATATACGATCATAAAACTCTGGAACCTTCGTTATCGCCATTTTGGCATCATCATAAAACTAATGACTATGATGTACTCAGATGAAAGTATTTTGAAAGTATTATGATCCGAGTCTCACCTACGATTAATATAGAACCAGACTATTTCAAATTAACACCCGTTGCTACTAAATTAAAACTAAAAATAGTGTATAGTAAACCTGAAAATTAATAAAAACTGAGTTGAAATCAAATTTCTGAGAAAACTTCTAAAGGAAAAATGAAGCATTTATATGCATAACGTCAATGGCTAATGTAAATTTTGTTGACATTAGTGTGTGTGTGTCTGTGTGTGTCTGTGTGTGTCTGTGTGCGTTTGTTATTTTCGGCAGTGGATCCATAATATTTCTAGATCACTGACCTCTATGTGCACAGACGCCCAACAGCCGGATGACATTCGGGTGATTCACTTCTTTCAGTAGATTGAATTCCGACCACAGGTCACGAAACTCAGCAATAGAAGCACATTCTGAAATGTAAAAAGCAAAAATATATTTATAAAAAAATAAAAATAAAAGTAAAAAAAATAAAAGTAAAATACAAACATTAGATATTTGGCGAGTGGGGAAGTTGCTTGGATCGGCGGTGTATCGTAATGGCCGTTTGCAACAAATGCATGAAAAGTCAACATAAGAAACAAATAATCCGGTCCTCTCAATTCCCCTGTCATGTCCATTAATGGTCACGTGAAGAATTGTGACCAATCAAGCCTAATTGTTCCCACAAATCACGCTGATTCTCACTCAATGCAAGGTTATTCATTGTTTGACACCTAATTTACCCTCCTTCCAATCAACATACGGGTATGCCTGCTTACTATGGTTAGATAGATAGATAGATAGATAGATAGATAGATAGATAGATAGATAGATATGGATAGATATGAACAGACTGGGGAGAGCGATAAAGAGAGATGGATAGAGAGAGAGAGAGACATTGATTATGAACACACTGGGATAGATAGATAGATAGATAGATAGATAGATAGATAGATAGATAGATAGATTGATTATGAACAGACTGGGATAAATGGGATGAACAGACTGAGATAGATAGATAGATAGATAGATAGATAGATAGATATCAACAGGATATATTAATAGATATCAACAGGATATATTAATCGTAACAGATAACAACCGTTTCTTTATAAGGAAAATTTCGGCATTTATTGACTCAGCAATCAAAATTAAAAATAGAAAATAATAGAAAAAATTGAAATTAGAATCAAATGTATATGAGGATATTGTTGGAGTAAAATTATTATCCTGATGACACCAGTTATTCGGCGAAATATGCCAAACATTTTTCAAATTTTTTCATATATATTTATATATATATATATATATAAATCTGTATGTAGTAACTTGAAAAACAGAAAATAAAAAGACTGTTAATAGTGAGAATGCCAGTGTTACCGATAAAATTTGATTGCCCGTCTCTTTCCATCCTCATATATATATATATATATATATATATCCTAATGAGCGTGGGCACTACCTATCTAGATTACACCACAAGGGATCGTCTGGGTGAACTGGCTCCAGTTCACCCTGATGATCCCATGTGGTGAAACCTAGGTCGGTGGTACCTGGCTCATTAAGATTTATTTTACTTTTGCTCTACTCAGCGTATTGAGCACTCTTCGTTTCAACTTATTACTCACTGTTTTTTTTTTATTTGTACCAGAAATTTAAGGCACTAGACGATTTCCCACCCCCCTTGTTCGAAGGTTTCTGGTTCTTTCTTTTTTCCAATTTTGTTCCTCGTTGTTGTACAAGCTCTTTCCCCCCGCTATGTTCAATATCTCACTCCCCTACCAGCCACAACCAATCACAATTTTTAAATCTGAGATTATTTTCACATTAAGCGAGAAATCAAACAGGGAACGGATTTTTTTTTCCTAATAATTCCACCTACAAGCGGATTCTAGCCACGTCAAAAAACTAATGTTGGATAGTTTTCACCATCCCTCTGTTTATTTCTCGCATCCGCTGATGAAGAACACAGGTGTGTTTGAAAATTCAGAACTTGGAACCTCAATCTCCATGCTTCATTTTTGTCACCTGTTTAATATTTATAACTGTTTTCGTACTGATTTATCATCTGTATCCTTTCGTTTTTATATATATATATATATATATATATATATATATATATATATATATATATATATATATATATATATATATATATATATATATATATATGAACTACAACAACCAACCCGAAAATTGAACAAATAGCTTTAATTAAATTCTCAAACCAAAACAAAACTGTTAAATACGTGATATAAACAAATTTTTACGACGTTAATAAATAAATAAATAAATAAATAAAATAAGAAACAAAAAAATAAAAACGAGCAATATAATTTGACCCAAATAAATAAACAAAGCGACTTCCGGTAAAAATAACCGCCATAATAGAATACCCACAATGCACCACTAACCCGTATATATATAAATAGCCGAGAAAATAACAGCATATGTGGCCTGACGATTGCATATAGCATGAAACAGACTGTCGCCTCTAAGTGTTGACTTCTATGTTCACTTTTATATTTACACACGCTCTATCTCTGATATTGAGCAATTTATCCCATAAATATAGCACACCTTAAGACTATATTTTTATATATATATATATATATATATATATATATATATATATATATATATATACCCGAATGTAATGAGAAAGAAAAATATAAATTCTAACATTCGCAGTGTTAATTCAAAAGAGGGCTCAATACCAAGATTAGAGCAATAATTAATTATTATAGTTTTTACATACGATCAAAACAACTTACTCACGACAAAGACGCATTTTTGTTTCGATGCTCATGCATCTCGGCTCGCCAGTCGAGATGCATACACATCGAAACAAAAATGCCTCTTTCTCGTACATTGTTTTGTCCATATGTAAAAATTATAATAAAATAATATATATATATATATATATATATATATATATATATATATAGAGAGAGAGAGAGAGAGAGAGAGATGTGTAAGTATGTAAATATGTATGTATATTGCCAATTTCTTTTTCTTGATTTTTCAATTCACAATATACATAGTGAGTAAGCTGGTCTCCTTAAATCAATTACAACTGAATCGTGATTTCGATCTTCACTCGGTGGCCCCATACTTTCGGCCTTGTGCCGCATCTAAGCTGCGCTTAGAAAATCGCCCTAGTGTTTAAACAATTCCGTCTTGTCAATTTCACTCACTAAGCTTGTGTCAACCTGTGATTTGGTCGTTGGGGACTTTCCAAAGAGAATAGCATCAAGACGTGGGTGATCATGGCTTTCTACAACATCCTATTATTTATAGCTCTTCGTAAGTTTTGACTTTTTGCTATCACCCCAATCCATGGTCTTGCTAGCCATTTATACAAGACAGTTCTTGAAAAATGCTAAAGAAGTGGGCGAAAGCGCTTGAGGCAATGGAAATTATGGAAACTTTCTGTACTCCCTGACTTCTATAAAACAAAAAACAATATAAGCATTCTGGAAAATCTAATTAAAAAATTAAGTCATCCTTATCTGCCATATTTAATGAAAGATGTTTAAAAGAAAGTCTGTTGCCTATAATATATATATATATATATATATATATATATATATATATATATATATATATATATATATATATATATATATATATATGCGTAGGAGGATTTTACAAATAATTTACATAGCAAACTGAACTTTCTCTAAAATCTTAGTAAATTTTAAAAAGTAAACAAATTTTAAATTCGTGATATGGGGGTGTTTTTCGATAGGAATATGAAACAGAATTTAAAAATAAAAACTTAATTTCTGGAGTGGTGCGTTTCTGTATAAAAAGGTCATGAAGTCTTCTAGCATTAGATAAAATATTTATATATTCTTTTAGTACATAATTTTATCTGCGACAATAAGATTATTTCCTCTCTTTGTGTGTATATGCAGCTTAGGAATCCTTTTTATTTAAGTTTGAACATGATTGCCATTGGAATATCCGTCAACCCCATTGAGGGCATTTATTCAAATACTTCGTTGAAGGAATGTAGAATGCCATCAAACATCTTCAAATCACATTTATTCAAAACAATATAGAAATGTTTTCTTTTTGACGTTCGCAATTGTAGAAATAATAGAATTTGGCTTTTCAGAGTTTTTTGATTATATTTAAGCCAGCATAGGACACCATCACTTACCTTTAAGCATTTTCACAGCCACCGTTGTGTAGCCACTTTTGCCTTCTATATTAAACGCCCGGGCTCTCATTACCATTCCAAATTCTCCTTCTCCCAGTGATTCCTCTATGATTAAGTGCTTCCGAGGGAATTCCCATTTCTTGTCGATATGCTGTAGAAAATTAAAAAAAATATATACTTTTATATAGAAAATATATCTTAGAATCTTTTATAGCCTAATATCCGAGGGTTGGCTAAAAAGTTCATGGTCTAACCAAGATATAAATGTAAATAAAAATACTGGTTAGTGAAAAAAAAACCTTAAACAAAAGTGTAGCAGAATACAACATCTGACCGACCAGCTGTTGTATTCTGCTTCACTTGCATGTTTTTTTAGTTTCCTAATTGGTGCGTCTATCTATATTTATATCTTGGTCTGACTATGAACTTTTCAGCAGGCCCTTGCAAATTTGGTTTGTCAATGAATTGTCATAGAAAATTTTATTTTAATCGTTGGGCTGAACAGTACAGACTTAAACAAAACATTTTTTTTATTGTTTAAACACAGGAAGTGCGGCTCGGAAAGTGGACGGCGAGTCGAGTTCAAATTCTACTGCCTTCACTTACGCACTAATGCTCTTGGGAAAAGCAGTATCCATCTCTAATTCATCAGTTATTGGTTAAATATCATAGTAGAGTAGCTTCTTAAGCCTTGGCTGGCAGCCGGTCTAAAAGACCAACAAATCCGAATTCAAAACCGTTCAGATGGTAACGGAAAGCCACTCTATTCTCAAGGAGTCGTGATAATTCAAAGATAATAAATAAGTAATCGGTGGAGATCCAGGAGTTCCCACGCTCCGAAAGGACATGGCAAGACATTTTTAGACAGCATTTTTTTGTTTAAATATGTTGTATTAAGTATAATATAATATAATGTTTGTTAAACATACTACTGAGTTTCTTCAGGTGTCGAATATGTCGCTTAATGCCAGGTGGAAACGTGTGTATTATGTTCCGTGCACTTTCCTACACACTTTGTTGTTTGCAAGTAAAAAACTTGAAAGTAAGTTGCTAAAGGTCGGAATTTTTAAATGAGTGGAGTTTAAATGCTATGAATGTGGAATAAATCTTAGCATTACGGGTCTATTATGACCGTAGTGTTCAAAGGTAGTTTAACATTTTAATGTGCGCAAAGGGGTTATAACAATATTTTTTTTACTGGCAGGTTGCATCCTTTGAATGTGAAAGGCATCTGGAGTTTGTAATCGTTGTTATTTAATATAGGTTTTACTTCTTTAATCCGGCTATCTTGTAAGCCCATGAAAAGCAGAAGAAAATCACCCCAAGGGAAACTCTTGTAAACGTATGCCCGACTGCCAACCATGAAGGATTATTCCATATATGTATGTATAGCTGGCCACTCGTAATCGAGGATACCCGATAGCCAATCCCTATTGGAGACGCTTTCTCAGGCGCATTTGTCTTTATTCAACACCCACGGGGACCACCTCTTGTCTATACTGCAACTATACTGAGCAGACCTTAGTTACAGTTTCTGAGAAAGAGTGTGTTATCTAGCGTGATCAACAATTTGAACAAGGTCAGCATGCTTAAGCCCTCGGCTACGATGACTTGTGACTTCGTGTTAGCACAGCTATCGACGGCATCCAAGGATTTCGTCTACCCAATTTCATTGACAAGGCTTGGGTCATACGTGCTATGGTTTTCAGGCACTTTCCAAAGGTGTTGCAGGCTAGGATCGAACCCTCCAATCCAATAACATCAGGAAGTCTCCTTCCGGACAAATAGTGAGATTCGAACCCGGGGTCTCATGGTCAGAAAGCGAACGTTTTAACCACTTGGCCACATTCCATCAACACGCACGTACGCACACACACACACACACACACACACACACACACACACACACACACATATATATATATATATATATATATATATATATATATATATATATATATATATATATATGCACACACAAACACACACACACATATATATATGTGTGTGAGAGAGAGAGAGAGAGAGAGTGTGTATTCTTGAACAAACAACTTGCTTTATAAAGGTAACCTTGATACCACTCTACTGTGTGTTTGTTCAAGAATAGCTGGATCTTATTCTTTATAGAATATATTGATTTTTGCTAAACCTAACACAAGGCCAATAAGAAAGTGTACGAAAATTCCATCACATTTTGGGAAGGTTTGTTTTCGAGATGATGACTCTTAACTGGTCTCCAACAGCAAATATTAGCACTAGTGCCAGATAGACAAATCTGATTCTAATTGATTTGGTGAACAATTTGAACAATTTGAAACTAGCTACTGCACGACGGCTATATGCGTCAGTAATATTTCATTGATGAAAGTAGCCTAAATTTGTTCTTTGTCACAGGATTACTAATGTGGAGAAATAAAAGATGATTGTCCTTTTTTGCCGTTCAAATAAATAGGGTGAGTTTTTATAGAAAAGTAATTTTAAAAATGGTTCAGTACCATCTGCTGGCTAGATACGAGTGTTGTATCTCGCCACCAGATGGCAATGAATAGAAATAAGCAGTTGATTTAGCTACATAACTCTTTTCTTCTTAGGAAAAATTTACTTTTTACCAAAACTTCCCAACTTAATTATAGCTATATATATAAAGGATTTATATGCATAAAAAATAAATACTTTCCGTTAAAAGTAAAAATAAAATCATCCTTGATAATAGCTAAAAGAGTAGCCGAAAGCGCACGAACGTACAGAGCATTCGGACAATTTCATTTATGTCCAGAAAAGAAAGAAATTATGAGAACACAAGAAAAAGTACCTTGTGATTCGTTTTTAACGAAACTTATATAAAAGAGGTTATTGTTGCCCAAATAAACAATTATATATATAAATAAACAATTATGCTTAGAGTATAGTGACATGGTGTTATATTAGAGAATATATATATATATATATATATATATATATATATATATATTGTCTAAAACAAAATATAGTGTTACTTAGAGTGTTATTTATCATATATATATATATGGTTATATATATATATATATATATATATATATATATATATATATATATATATATATATATATATATATATATATATATATATATATATATATATATTAATGCATGTTTCATTAAATAATATAGAAAAGTTTTGTCTATTTATTTTAAGTAAGTTCCTTTCATATTGTCTGATAAGCTTAATAACATTATCATTGAAAGACGAAAAAAAATCACCATATTGATACATGTTTTAATCCACTCGAAGCTTTCGGCTTACATAAGCCATTATCAAAGATGACAATTACTTTTCAATATATCAACCAATACACGGACTAAACTATAATGATAGTCTGTTTTGTTGCATGAAAAATTCCAACTCGTCTATATTAGACGCGGAAGCGAAAATCGCGTCGCAGTTCGTGACGTCACACATGACCACGCGAGAGTGAAAACGAGAAGTATTAAGTATGGGAAGTTGTTCGTATAAACCAATGGCTTCTTTTATCAATTACACTTGAGTTGATCGCACAAAACTCCGAAGTCCCCTTCTTACCTCCTGTCCTGGCAAATATTCTGCTGACGTGTTACCCCCACCTTGGGCTCATCAAACCGCTCTCTGATAAATATCAAGATTGATGCCAAATCAAAAGCATTCTCTGATGCCCAAGACAATCTTTTGATACTTGAAAGCTAACTGGGATATCTGTCTATATTTCTGAGATAAGATATTGTAATTATTTATATTATTTAAATTGTTTAACCTGTTGCCATCATCTTTATTGTCATATTCACGGCGTTTCTGCCGTTGTACGCTCCGGCCTTCTTCAGATGATTAGAATTTGGAACTAAAACCATTTATTTCGTCCAAAGGGGTAGATTGTTCTAGTTCCACGTGCCATGTCTCTTCCGGGTAGCTCAGTTATCTCCCTTTAACTAAACTTTCCAAATTTTCGTTCACCACTGCTGTAACCATGTATTGGGCTCACAACGCTTTGGTTCAAGTCACCCGACCAACCAACGCTTTTATCTACTGCCAAAATGTTGTGTATATAGCAATAAAGATGTGGACAACAGATAATGTAATGTATGATCTGGGATATTTTCAGATCATACATCATGAAAGTTCCCTCTCAGCATTCTTCAAACAGAATTCCCAGAATTACCTCTCTCATTTCTGACTGGATTATTTCTGGTTTGGCGGGGTTTATATCGCACAAAACGTATCAGCAAAGACTGGAAAACCAGCTTTGGTTCATGCCTGAATGTGCTACCACCACAGCTAACTGGCATTACTGCTACCAGCTTTATCACAGTGAACAGTGTAGCAAAATGTTTGCTGCATTCATAACTACACGCAATTCTCGCAAAAATATTCTAGAAAATATAAAGAAAAGTTATGTTCAATCAGTCCAGGCCTAGTTGTAAACAAAAGACTTGGTTTCCGCGAGTTTTGAAAAATGACAAAAAAGATTCTTAATAGAAGTACACCGGCATAATTCACTCCAGAGGTTTGAATCGAATTTAATGTACGTCGGAAACATTGACCTGTGATGGTCCCATGTTCTGGGTTAACCTTAAGAGATACCAAAGTAAGTTTTATACTTAGTAACACCTCAGAACATCAAGAGACCTAGGATGCCTGAGAGTTAACCTATAAGGTTTACTCAAAGCCATCAAATGCTGATTCGGGGCTCAAATGAACATAGTGGATTCACGAAAATAAACAAGGAAATTAACCCAGCTGAAATTAAAACAAATACACAAAAACAACATGACAACAGGATCTTATATAAACACCCGAGCTAGAAGGGATAGAATTTCTCACAACCCCGAAAAAATACAGAATGTTCAAAGAAAGACCCTTAACTACAGGATTCTCCGAAAGTTTTGTCACCCGTACATAAAATAATTTAATATTTCAACGCTCTGTGGGGTGTTATCAAGGAGAGAGTTTCACATGAATGATACCAGAATACCCATCATTTGAAGGACGCCATTCATAGAGCCTTTCAAGCAATCAACAAAACAGAGTTTCGTAAAATATCACACAGGACATGGCACCTCATCATTTTGTACCACGAAAATGATGGATGTTCATACAGGCCTTCTCGATGTGTGACAGCGTCAATGAATAAACTGAATCCAGTTGATATGCTTTGTATTACTTGTTCTTCTATTGTTCTCATTACTTTTGGTAGAGGGTGACAAGATTTTCGGACCTCCCTGTACATAATCTAATTTTCTTACGCATAGAAAATTTAATCTAATATTCTCAACAGACGTTACGAACATAAAATTACATGAGAAATCGTATTATGAGTACAATGAAAATATGAATGTGCATTTTGGTAGGCGAGGGGTAACTTGATACTTACATCAGAACTTAGAGCGAATGTTTCATTTCTTGGTCCCTTCGACGCGCAGTAGGTGAGATTCTGTTGTTGCTGCAATTGTCTCTCCTGGTCGCTGACGTAGTCGGAGGGGGCTGCCGATACGGACACAACGCTTCCCACGTGTTTCAACGTGTCCGATCGAAGTCGCCTCCTCTTCACCACCCACCAAATAACGAAACTGATTACGCAGATCATCGCCAAACAGCCAAAGACCGTGGCCATCGCCGACTCGCAGACTCGGTCGCAAATGTCCGAGTCATTCTTCTGTATAATAGCTGGAATGAAAGGGTCGAGTGACGACTGCGTGAGTCCCGTATATGTAACTGTAAGTAATTCAGAACATGATGGCTTTTCAGTTGAGTCAAGTCAGAAAAAAAGAACCAGTTTTCGCGCGCGCTGAACTTCTGTAATTTTATATACGTGTAGGTAAAGCGCTTGTGAGTGCGAGCGTGCGTGCGTGCGGGCGGTCGTGATTGGGGACGTGGGCGTACGTATGAGTGCACGTGAGCGGGGGTCGGGATGCATGTTTGTGCTTTTACATGTTTTAATGGACGTTAGGGTGACGTTTTACATGAGCGTTATTTAATCAAGCTTAAATTATATATATATATATATATATATATATATATATATATATAATAACAGAGGTGCATTATTATAATGGAAGTTAAGATGGCAATCTATATGAGCTTATTTTTAATATAATATATATATATATATATATATATATATATATATATATATATATATATATATATGATAACAGAGTTGCATCATTTACCTAATTTCTGGTACTTACATCGTTTCCAAGACCTTCTGTTATTCCTACATATATAATTTTCTGACACTGTGAAGAATAGACTTCCTCCTACAACCATTTCCCCTCAATTCTGTAGTGATACGTAAAACCCGACATGGAGTAGTGGCACTTGGTCAGCCGATCATATTGATCTTGCATGCACAATGTCTTTATCTCTATCTCTATCTCTCTCACACACACACACACACACACACACACATATATATATATATATATATATATATATATATATATATATATATATATATATATATATATATATTAAAAAAAAAAAATGCCGAAAGGTTGATAACAAGGTAAGCGTGATTGGCTGATCTCTTATTTTTTAAACTTATTAGGCCTATATGTTAAATTTTTATTTTCTTTATATGTGTATTGACCACTTTTTAATACTACTTTTTTCTGATCTAATTCATATCAGACCAAGAACTATTTTATAGTAAAAATATCATATATATATATATATAAATATATATATATATATATATATATATGTAAACTGTATATATATGTAACTGTAAACGTTATATATATATAACGTGTTGAGTTTTATTTTCATAAAATGTTAAATTAATAACAACTGGCCTAGATTGAGAAGTCCTACTCATGAAAAATTTACCCCCACCCCGAGAGGAATCTTATTTGCATTGCCTTTTCCCACCAGAGAAACAACTCCTATAGTCGAAGCGCCCCTTTCCTCCGGTGACCAAAGATCTCTTTGACAAAACATTTTTTATTATGTTTGACGCATTTTTTTCATCCTGTATATTAATTATCATTGCCTGCACATACACACACACACAAATATATATATATATATATATATATATATATATATATATATATATATATATATATATATATATATATATACAAAGAGACAAGTGGAAAAACTAGTCTTAGCCGACGCGTTTCGTCCTCTGAGGGACTTTATTAAGGCTAATATAAGATTTATTTTGTTTCACGTTTATATCTACAAATGTGAGGACGTCATTGGTTGATCAAGGCTTTTAAATTTGAGAACGTTCATGAATGTTGATCAGGTGGCTGAGATATTTCTTGAATATTACTCGCTTGCTTTTCACCAGACTTTGATTTTGACACTTTGTGTCCTCCACATGTTTTGAGTGATCTTTCCAACATAAGACGAAACGCGTCGCCTAAGAATAGTCTATCCTCTTGTCACTTTTTATTCATTTTATCCCTCTACAGATACAACCAATCTGAAAATAATTTACACACACACAGATATATATATATATATATATATATATATATATATATATATATATATATATATATATCATTTGCAAATCGGAGACTTCAGAAAGCCATGGTAATATTTTATTTTGCGAAATCGAGAGTTCGATTTCGCTTCGTCAGACCTAGCGGTTTCAAAACAATGAACGGATTAAAAAAAATTTCCAGGAATCAAACGAAAAACAAAATTAACGGAAGTTGCGTTTTAAGATACTTCCAAAAAGTAGGAAGGAAAGAGAAAGGTATATGTCTCTAGGAGATGCGATAGTAGTAGTGATGACCTCTTATTCACTGGACAACAGAAGGGAAGGAAGATAAACTTCCAAGAATGGACCAAATGGATGAAGGCACGTATGTGTATGTCTATTTATATGTGTATATAGAAGAATGTGTATCTATGTAGGTATGTGGGTTTGTGTACGTTCTCTAGTTCTCCTTACCTTTCTCCTCTTCATTTCTATTTTCTTTTTCTTAGTTATATAACATGTACATGTTTTCATCCTGTTTCATATTAAATGAAAAGCAATTTTTTGGTGTGTGAAAAGTCCTTTATGAGTTCGCTTGAAGCAGGATGAAAACACGTACATTTCATATGTCTCACCTTCTGATACAATTTCAATACCTTTGCTTCAATCCTTCCTTTCTATTACGCTTTGCATTGTGCGTTTATTTATTTATTTTTATAACTACTTATTTTTTTTAAATTTAAAAGCTCTGCATGTTAAATTTTTATTTATTTTTTTTATTTATATGTTTATTGAACACTTTTTAATACTACTGTTTCCTGGTCTAATTCAACTCTGACCAATAACACACACACACACACACACACACATATATATATATATATATATATATATATATATATATATATATATATATATGATCCTCAGGCGGCCTGACGATTGTGTCCAGCATGAAACACAGCCTTTCACCTCTGAGTGTTGACTTCAATGTTCACTTTTATATTTATATTTACATACGCTCTATCTCTGATATTGAGCACATTATCCCATAAATATAGCACACCTTAAAACTATATTTCTTTATATATATATATATATATATATATGAAAAATATACCTGAAAAATATACCTGAGAAAATAACTGAACCGAATATATGTGTGTGGGGGGTGTCGTGTGTATATGAGCGCGCGCGTTTGTTCATTTAATTACATATATTTGTTTATTTAAATTGCATATATTTTTGTTTAAACATGTTGGAAAAATAATCTATCCGAACAATTAGTTCATGGTATCAAAATCCCTGAAACCTGTTTCCCAGTTAGTATATTGCATCAAAATCCTTTACAAATTTATTTTTCATATCCCTTAAAAAAGAAAAGGAAAAGAAAGAAACTGTGAAACTTTTGCTGGGAATGACCTGAACAAAGCATTTCAGCATATTGTAAAATATTGAGCAATGTAGAGTTACCAATGAGTGCCATGGATGACTTGATCAAAGGATGCTTTCTCATATTCGGTAACATAGAGTTATTAAATGAGGGCGTGACATGTAGCTGATCATTTAAGTAACTAAGAACACGCTGCCAATATATAGCCAAGGGACTTATGTAAAATATACTTTATGCTCATGTTATCTGTCTGATTTTCAAAAACCCGGCCCTATGGTTTAAGCACTGCTTTTTTTAAAGCCCTGTAAGGAGTAGGTCATAATACTATTGTTGCCAGTACAAAAGATGACTGTTCTTTATGATACCCTTAGAATATAGTAATCTGCTTTTCTTGCACAGAAATAAAATAATTAATCAATCGAATATATATTTTAGAACTACTTAAAAAAAAGAAAATAAATGTAAACTTCAGCGTGTTGAAGAGTTAAAATATATTTAAAATTATGTTCATATTGGCGGGAAATGGAACGGTTGGTCCAGGTCCACGAATTCTTTTCTCTGTTCAAAGCTGTGAGTAAAATAACAGAGCGAACTTGACTCTAGAGACTTTGTAGAGCAATCTGTGTGAAAGACAATGAGGAACTCAAATCCGTGGGGAAAACAGCAGGAACCCACGTCGCTATCTTTTCCAAGAACGACCGTAACAATTCACTGATATTAAAGAAAAAGAAAAGAGAGCCATGACCGACCGCGTAGTGAAGAGAATTATCGAAGACAACCTTATATATATATATATATATATATATATATATATATATATATATATATATATATATATATATATACAAATCTTTGTATTGTTTCTATTAAATATTCAGGTTTTAGGTTGCATTCTAAAATTTAAGTATGATTTTATCACGTTAAAATCCCATATCCCGCTGGCGTCAGTTTAAATTGACAGTTTCTTTTTCCCCCATATATCTAAACCGGAAGTAAGCGGCCCGCGAAAGTATTTCAAACAAAAAATTTTCGTGCATTATTTGATTTCTGTCTAATCAACAATTTATTCATTTCATTGAATGTTCATGAAAAATTGCCAGTTACCAAATTTTTAATCGTAAATTAAAGCTAGCTTTACATAAAGTTGTTCCCAGCTTGCTCCCGACATTCTATTTTGTTATGATGCATGTCAAAAATCCTAACCTAGCCAGTTTGTTTTTGTTCCACCACTTTTTTTTATCTTGACTGGATCAGCCTTTGATAACTCTTCAATTCGTAATTTATTTTGTCTCTTTCTTGCTCCTCGCGAATGAGCTGCGTGATTCTGCTTATCGACATAATACATTGGGCTCTCTTATTATTTTTTCTGTGGGGTGGACGGGTCCTACAAACATATTTTCATTTTAATTTGAATGGTTTGTTGTAGTTTATTTTCGTTATCGGGTACATGCCCCCCTTCATTTCGTGCCATAATTTTAAACATTTTTATATAAAAAGAACGAAAAAAAAAACAACAATTGTATATATTTTCATATCATGGGTATTTTAGTAGGAACACTGTAAATATACGCTATTATGGTGTGTGTTGGATTGAATGCCGGGGAATGAGTTCTTCTAGTGTATGAGCAAATTGTAATAAATGAATGGATCGTGAACCAGATTAACTAGCTGTAGAATAATCAATGATGACCAACTTCCCCTCTTTTGACCTTGTGCCATATGAAATGTAATATTTCAAAATAAAAACATTAAGTGATGATTGGAAGTTTAGCAACTACTGAATGTCAAAGAGCGTTTATTGTATGTTCATTATTCAAGTACAGGTACCAATATGAGATTGCTAAAAAAAAAGAGCATAGTATGATGAAAAAGACGCCAAACTTGACGAAAACAAAATTTTATCGTCGAAATGTTTATGTAATTATTAAGAGGAAAGACCAAAGTATTTTTTAACTATTTTTTTAAAAAATTTCTTTCTTTTTAGAACATTCTAATTTTTTGATTAAAAAAAAAACAAAAAAAAAACTTGTTTCTCTTTGTATCACCGGAACTAGTAAATAACATATACAATTTTTAGCACTTTTTTGTGTGCGTGATAGACATTAATTTGGAAAATCTTGCAAAAATAAAAATAATTGTCGGATGCTAATAAAACTTTCAGAAACTATTCACAAATGATGGAATTTATTATAAATGTGTTTTCTTTTTTTAAAGTCATGGCAAAAATATTTTTCATATTTCTTACACCCACCCCCAAACTAATTTTATGAAAACTCTAGAAATTCTATAGCATTCAGTTTAGTAATTATATTAATTAAAAGCACAAGGCTTTGAGGAAAGCAAATCATATAGTTTGTTTTTTTTTTAAATTGGACCCTCTTACCTGAAAAACAGCTCTGAATTGTAGTATACAAAACTCAATAAAACAAAGATATTATTTAATTTCAAATGCTTTTATTTGCTTCTAGTTGTTTTTATGTATATGGACAATATTTTCTGAAAGCAAAAACTTTTTCGATGAAAAATGAATTTTTAATACAATTATTTGTTATTTCTTTAATTATTTTAGATTTTTACATTTAAGTTGTTAAAATATTATAAAATTAGTTGAAAGCCGCATTCAGTTTCGTAAATGTCCTTATGAGATAGAACTATTACCGCATTGTAAATTGTATCGCTTCGACCAATCAGAATACCCGCAGTAATTAAGAAATGTAATTTTGCATTCATAATACGGTTGTAATTATAAAGTACAGAAGACCAGCAAAAATACAATTAAGTCGCGTTAATTGTGTTAAGCATTGTTCTCTGCTGCTAAGGCCTTTATTTTTGCGAAACATGTGTGGAGAAGTTAATTTCATTTTACAATTTCAACTAAGAAGGTTACCTACAAGTATTAACATCATCTTATGAAATTTATATCATTTTATTTTTATATTAATTTCAGTTATGACCTTTTTCCATAAATGAAATATTAAAATTAATAACAAAATGAATGGAAATGCAAATAACACAGTAAAATGTAATAAATGTACATGAAATTATAGTATTTTATGTACACTTTTGATAAAATCTCATAAGAAAGGTACCTATAAATTAATTAGATACCTTTCTTATGAAATTTAATCTCACTCTCAACAGTTTTATTTTAATTTTTTTTATAATATATTTTCCATAAAGCATCGTAAACGTAAAGGTGAAAGCTAAGTACAAAAACAATTAGAACGCTAAAAGTTTTAAAAATAAAGAGGTAAATAATTTGTTCACTTAAATCTAAATAATTATGTCACTTGTGTCGTTCCGTACGATAACTTTTCCTCACGTAAGCTGTCAATACGTGAATAAATCATCACTCATCACCTTTCAAGTGACGCTAAATGTTATGATCTGCTTTGATTTATTTTTAAACTACATCTTTTCGGCGCAGAAACTAAGTTAAGCTTGTTTCACAATATTTTGAATAAACATTATAATTTCTAATTTTCTTAAAATTAGTTATGAAAAAATTTTAATTGATTTTTAAAAGAATTTGAAACTGAAATTTTCATTTTCTATATAAAATGGAAAAATGGTTGACGTGATTGATTATCTGTCAATTCTGGTGATTAAAAAAAAACAAGATTTTTAACGAATATTTCGAACGTGCTAGGAATTTTTTAAAAATGTGAAAAAAAAAATACCCCCAAAATAAATTGATCTTTCCTCTTAATAATAACATAAATATTTAGACGATGAAATTTTGTTTTCGTCAAGTTTGGCGTCTTTTTCATCATACTATGCTATTTTTTAGCGATCTCATGGAGGTACCTATAATCAAATATATTGTTTTATACCTGCGGCCCACCAAAACCCCGCTAAAATACGTGATCCACCCCTGATCTAAACTTTGATTATTTTGAGAAGTAAACATTTCACTGAAATATATTTTAACATTTGCAAGCGTTCACTTGGAATTAAGAAAACATGAAATTTAAGTAAAAAGCTCACAATATTTGAAAAGAAGTCGTTAGTTTAAATTGACGCCAAGAGGATACAAGTTAAATATATTCCATTATTTTGATATTTTTTAAAATATTTCAAGATTTCTTCTTTTGTCTTCTAATTTAGGTATTCTACCCATGAGAGAATTTTAAACTCTGTGTGTCAATAATTCTCTCTGGAGAGATACATGAGGCATGGCATTGAAAATGAATGACTGTTTGACAACAATGCGACACTCAATGGCTTTCGGATCAACGTTATAATAAATTGCTAAGTTTGGTAACAAATGATTTTACTAATCCTAGTAATTTGTTTGGTTTACCAAATTTAAATCAGTATAAATTACATTTCAGAAGTTATAGAAATTATCGATATAAGTTTCATAAAAAAATTTCTCTTGATTTTAAAGAACATTTTTCTGGTTTTATCTCTTCAAGAAACTTACTGTCGCAAAATAAATAAAATAAGGCACTTACCATTCGAGACTGCATCGACTGGTCTGGAAGTCGATTTTATTATTATTCCTGTAGATTTTTCATATTTCCCTTCTGATTCTATTGAAGATTTGTAACAGTGGCACATCATTTTGGCATCACAAGAACAAATGCCAATGGCTTTTAGTATCCCCATCCCGTTTCTCAGGAGACCACTGTAAGTAATTTGAGCTGCAAACATAAACAATATATATATATATAATGATCATTACATAAGGATCGATTTGAACTTTTTGGTTTGGTCTGGTTTAGTTTTTGTTTTACGGCATATTAACACCTCAATGGATTATTTAATGCAGACAATATTTTTAGGATATGTTCGTATGAATAAAAAACATATACTTCCTAAGAAATTAGTTTGTAGATCAGATTTCATTGACATATTTTTGCAAAGAGGGTTTTCGTCGAGAGTCATATGTATTGTTGGTAATATTTTTTAAATGTATTGCTGGTATTTTTACTATAAAATCTATTTTTATACTTTCATAGTGTTTTGGTCCCAGTTTGGGGGTTCACTACTTGTCCATAGCTGGGATCTTAAGAGGTCTACCATCCCGGGTCAGGGTGTAACTGGTAACAATCGCAATTAAGAGATAGTTGAACTCTCTTCAAAACCTCCCGATCAGAGGCCTTGCTGCCGGATGTAGTTTATCATCATACCCAGGGATCGAAATGTTTGGAAAACGATAATTATTTAGGAAGCATGTTAGAATTATCAAGAATTTAAACCGAGAACAAACCGTCTTCATATCGATAGAAGGTAAAATAGACGCAAAAATAAAAATAGGGATAAAACAAGGATGTGACATAAAGCACCGGATTTATGCAATCCTCTAAGGGAACTGAAGACTCTACCAAGATTTATAACCGTTGGGCACAATATTGACAAAATAAGATAGGAAAATGACACTATCTACATTGCTCGGACTATCATCCTCATCTTTGTTGCCATATTTATCACAACGTTTCGGCCGTTGTACGCTCCGGCCTTCTTCAAGTGGTTGGGATGTCAAACTGAACCTTTTATTTCGCTCGCTGGAGTAGACTGTTCTAGTTCCATGTGCCATATTTAATGGATGTCAGTTATTTATCTCCTGTTAATTCCTCTCTCCAAGTTCTCCACCGCCTTAACCAGGTATTGAACTCACACTTTTGGGTCCTGTCACCGGATCTAACTAACACCTTCATCCACTGTGTCATGTGTCCATGGTGCCCCGACTACACGAATTTATGCGTGCTACTAGATTGGCATTTAGGTCCCACCATTTTACTGTCGAAATAGTTAAATGCAACCGCCACTTCTACTCCAACAGTTTCTTTTCTCGTACTTCCCGCCTGTGGAACTCCCTTCTGTTTAATTGCTTCCCTGATAACTACAATCTTCAAAAATTTAAATGCAATGTTAATCGCCGTCTTCTGTTGTTTTCTTGAATGCCGTTCATCTTTTTGTCCTTTCCTCAATCCTTCCAATACTTAGTCTGTTTTGTCACTTTCATTCTCTGTAAACCAGAGCGTACTAGTGGCATTCCCACCTTTCTTGGTATGGAATGAGAAAAATAAAATTACGGGTTCGATCGCTATGATGACAATGAGAAGGTTTGTTGAAATCACAGGATATTTCTTACTTTTTATTTTAAGTACAGTGTTGGGAGTTCTTTGTAGAATTCAATCCACATCGTTTCTAAAAACATTCTACATTGTCGAACATTTTTTCAAATTCCTTTTTGACATATTACTCTAATTGTATTTTATACCTTCTTATGTTCACGCTAGATGTTTCATGGTTATTACTTGTGTCTGGGTAACAGTGTAACAGCCTAGAGTATAGCCACAGCAATTCTTCTGAAATCCTCTTCGCATTTCCAACTTAACCGATTCATATACTTTTAGCACGATTTCTAATGACACTACTATTATAGGTGCTATACTGACCTTCATTCTCGATTTAGCTTAATTTCAACTTGTGTGGTGCAAGTGTTTTAAAATTATTATACTAATGACTTTGGGCAATTTGCCAGCCAAAGGGTTAAGCTCTAATTTGTGATTGTGGGAATGCAAAGATTTCCAGAATGTTGGCGTTATGTATTTGTAATGATTGTGATGTTTTATTTTGAAGACATTAACTTTCACTTCTCTTTCTTTATTAATATTTTAATATTCCTTCAATATATTTCCTATATATTTTTTTCAGATGAATTAATTGAATATTCACTTATAAAAAATGACCATACCTTTGCTAGATTACTTTCTAAAAAAAGTACAATTAATAATAATAATAATTTTGCATGCATATTCACACCAAATACCTTCTTGTAATTGCTAGAGATTGAATCACAATAACTTTCTACATATCTCCAGCACCTTTCTCAGTATCCTTGGACAGTCAAGCAACATTTGAGACTATACAATCTCAATATCTTCTCAGCTTTCCAACTCCTCCAATCCAAATTCAAGTTTTTTTTTTTTTTGGGAGGGGGGCATAGTTCGAAATACACTTAATATTGTGTGCCCCAGTGGGACCTTCATGCTTTATAATTTAGCTGTCGAGCTGAGTCCTGGTGTTTCTCTTAATTACTCACTATCATTTGTGGTTCCCTCTATAATCCACCGGCACATCAACATCTATGGTATGACAGGTTATGATGTTTCTTTATTCGCTATTATCAAGCTAGGTTTCCTTGCTTGGGTTTGATAATTGAACTAAGTGTCAAGATAACAAAATATTTTCTGATTCTTTTTTGTTTTTCAAGACAATTTCTGGTTTGTGTGAAAGCCATTTGTCTACATGTTTGAACCAGATTTTGGCGCAGTTCCCTGTATATGATTGTTCCTAACTTGCTGTGTCTTTTGTAATCTTTTTTTGCTACATTCACCGTTTGACGTTTCATCTTTCTATTCAATGGCAATATTTACTTTAATTTCTAAAATGTGTCAATCTCCGCTTTGACATAATTTTCCTTGACACTGATGTTCTGGGCTGCAATGACGAAGAATTCCTTTTCTCTCTTCAGGTTTCTTCCATTCCGTGACCTTGATTTGACGTCAATCATTTTATTTTTATTATTTAATGGCAATCATCATTCGATTTAATTTCTAAAACCTACCAAGTCTCGGAAAGACCTAAGGCAGGTCCTTTGACATAATGTTAATTTTTTTTTTTTTTTTTCCTTGAGCGTTACATAGACAAAGTTCTTTAGTGTGTGTGCTGCAATTAATAAGACAATTTTCTGTATGTCTCTCTTCAGGATTCTTTCAATGTGTTGTTTTGTTCCTGTGCACCCCACTGGTATTATTCTTGTTTTTTCCACATTATTTTTTCTATTTCAATTTCCAGGTCTTTTATTTTGAAAATTCTTGGTTGCTATGTTACAATCCATTTTATTTTTTATTATTTTTATTATTATTATTATTATTATTATTATTATTATTATTATTATTACAGTTGATGCATCTGCATATTGACACCAGGTATATGGTATTATTATTGTTATTATTATTATTATTATTATTAGACGTATTTCAAGAGTTCTTTATTCAAATTAATACAATGATTTCCTTAAGGTTATTCAGTTTTCAAATCCGAGGTCCCTGTGCACTTTTGCGCTTATCTAATACTTAATGACGCCATTTTGCTTTGTAAATCAGTCAGATGGCGAGTATGATCTGATTTGATCCTGTATACTTTATAACTGTGCTCTTGTGCCAAACTCGTGTCAATGAAAATTAAATATCCAAGGATGATGCCTTTAAGCTTCCACCTCAAATTTACATAGAGATTTGTAATGGCGATATAGATCCTTTAGTTCATTAGGCTGTAGTAATTACTGAAAGGATATTTTGATTCCTTTGATTTGGTTTTCAGTATATTTCAGCTATAATGATTAGTAATTTCCCGCCTTTATCCCATCATTTCCGTTATAAAATGTATACTCTAAAACATTATCTGAGCTTTTTTAGCGAGTCAAAATGCCTGCGACTTGACTTCAGAAACAAAATGGAACAGTAGAAATCTTTAAATACTAATGCCGCTTTTTTATTAATTATTTCCTGATCCATGGAGTTTTAGAGGCAGTAAATGAGTAAGCGTCCCTATTTACTAGATTCTTTATCGTTGATACAAGTTTGAAAACAGGGCGTATTATTATGCATACTGAACAGACATTTTAATAAGCGGGTAGTTCCATCCTAATGAATCTAGAGTTTTCCATTTAAAATATTTAATCAGGATAGTACAACAAAACGTCAAATGGAAGAGAGATGTAAAGTATATTGATCACTAGCAGTAGAGCCCGGCGTTGCCCGGGGATGTAACAGTAAGAGATAGATCAAGTATCGACTATCATAAAGACTGAAAAATAAAATTGACAAAGATTATTGTTTAATGTTGACGGACACGCATGTCTTAATTAGTTTTTTTTTTTTTTTTTTACGAATTGGTCGAACCCAAACTCAAACAAAAACATTGTTTACAATCGTTATGAGTCTATCGATTGGTGAATAGAATTTTATTATAAACAATTGTCTTGTAAATGGAATTTTTAAAGCATTCTGAATGTAAATAAATAAAAAAAAAAAGTGTGTGCAAGACAATAAGAAACACTACCACAAAAAAAAAAAAAAAGTGGATGTTTGTTTTATCGGCTGAAAAATGTAAGAAATCCGATCCCATATATAAAGGAACACACACACACACACACACAACCTGGGTTTTTAACCTAAGTTACTCCACGGAATCGCTAAAACATAGAGCATAGTCTGATGAAAAAAAAGACGCTAAAGTTTATGAAAACAAAATTTTATCGTCAAAATCTTTTTAGAATATTCTAAATTTTGATTTAAAAAACCTTGTTTGTCTTTGTCGCAACAAGGGGTAGTAAATAACATAGATAATTTTTAGCGCGTTTTTTTGTATTTACACATTAATTTGGAAAATCTTGCAAAAATAAAAATAATTGTCAGATGTTAATGAAACTTTCAGAAACTATTCACAGATGATCGAAATTATTATAAATATGTTTTTTTATTAAAGTCATGGCAGAAATATTTTTTATATTTATTAACACCCTATAACTAATTTTATGAAAAACTCTAGAAATTTGAGACCATCGGTTTTAGTGATTACAATAGTTAAAAGCACAAGGCTTTGAAGAATGCAAATCATGTATTTTTTT